TGAGCACCACACCCCAGAGTCAGACATGACTGGACTTAATGTCAGGGGACAACCTTTACCTTTACCTATACACACATATATACACACACAAAGCACATATACACAGACCGGGCCACAGCAACAAGTGACAGGGGATATCTAGTGTTTATATAAAACTGTAATTTAAGATAAGACAGTCCAATTCTGATTAAACCAATCTAGCCTTCTTCATTGTCAATGTGATAATGTATCCTTCTAATAATAAGTAATAGAGTAAAATAATACATGTAATAATACTAGTAGAGTAAAATTATAAATGTAATAAAATAACAATAATAACAGAGTAAAATAATAAATAACATTGACTCGAGTATAAGCCGAGGGGAACTTTTTCAGCCTAAAAAAAGGGCTGAAATACTAGGCTTATACCCGAGTATATACAGTACTTAAAATCCTATTGTAACTGGATTGATATGCCAAGTGCCTGTATGCTGAATATATGAAGTTTGTGAGTAAACCAACTCTTAGTTTTGAAGAAGACTGTTTATTTTGTCTCTTGAGAGCATGATTTAAAGGGAGGAGGCCCCGGTGGCGCAGTGGGTTAAACTTCTGTGCCAGCAGGACTGAAGACCGACAGGTCGCAGGTTCGAATCCAGGGAGGGGCGGGTGAGCTCCCTCTATCAGCTCCAGCTCCTCATGCGGGGACATGAGAGAAGCCTCCCACAAGGATGATAAAAACATCCTAGTTAAAAGCGTTATCCAATAGTGCTTTCTCCTAGTTAAAAGCATTATCGAATGTAACTGTTGCCATAATTCCCAGGCTCAGCTAGCTGCTGGGTGTGGCCCAACTAATCAGCTTTGTGTTTTGCATTTTTCAGTTTTTTTTCACTCACCAACTGATCTTTACATCCTGCAACAAAACTGCATTCTTTCCTGCTATGTAGACACACTATTCTAATTGTCAGGGCAATACTATCCCTGGCCCTGAGATTTGGGGGCCAAAAATATAATGTGGTTCAGTTCAAACTACATTACATGGCAGTGTAGATCCAGCCATAGTTTGGAGTGGACAGTTCTTCATATACAAGAATGGCTTTTAACAGCAGAATGTCCTCTAACAGTCCTTCAAGCAGACGGTTCATTCTGCAAAGCAGAGAACATGGCCATCTAGTGTTCATCGAATGGAAAGATTATTGGGGAATATTTGAATACTAAACCCAATAGAAAATGTGTGTCTTGGGTATCAGTGAGCCCTCAAAGAAATGCATCATTCTTGTTTTGAGGCTTACTCTGAGCAAAATATAATTGCATGCAGTTTGCGACTTTGTAAAATATGCACAACATTTTCTGCAAGTAAAATTTGTGTGCAGAAAAAGGTGATATTCTGTGCAGAATATAAGATATCCAGATTTCTGCACAGAAAATTCCACTTTGCAAATTTAGCATTTTTGTACAAAAAGCCTCACATAATGCATTCCCCCAGAATGAATCCCAAACTGCAATTGCCGATAGTTCTCCAAAACTGCAATATTTGAAAACTTCCTTATGATGGGGAGAAAAAAAATAGTACCATTATCGATCCTTCCAAGATTTACATCTCTAGGATTGGGATCCTATCCACGATTCTCACTGCATTGTGGAGCTTTGCAGTTCTTTTAAGAAAGAAAATGTCCAAAATGAATAAATGTTGTATTTACTGAGCAAATAGCTACACGTCCTTTGAGTGTTTCCTGGAGAAACAGTGACCTCTAGTGCTCATTCTGATACATTGCAACACAGTGAATGCACCAAACCTTGGAATTCACACCAGATTCGTTCATTAGTTTTATTTGTGTTTTATACACCAGAATTTTTACACAGCTGTCCTCCACCTTTCCAATGTGCAGACCGAGCTGGCCTGTAAAGCAAAACATAAACAATACCTATGAAAACATATTTGAATAGGAACAACTGGATTTAAAACTGTATAAATACGAATTGCATCCCTGTATGATACAGTTTAAAATGTCTGAAGATTTTCTGTTGCAATTCCATACAAGTTCACTGTGCCTCATTGAACTCAGTGAGCCCTGTGCCTGAAGACACATTTGTAA